TCAACACTGATCCTGTTCAGGGGATTAATGGAATAATTGGAAGTAGGCTGGCTTAATTCCATTGAGACACCTGTGGGACCACCACTATCAAGATTTACCTGGAAATCTTATTAGGTGGCTGCTGAGTGCCAGCAAGTGGCAACTGCTTGTAATTTTACCAGCAACAGAATATACAGACTTAAAGCAGAGCTGTGGAACAGCTCTTCCTGCTGCGAGGCTGTTTAATAGCTGTGCTCGATTTATTAATGGTGCCATTAGTCTCTGCTGAGAGCAGCATCTTCCTGAGCTCTGGAGAGGGCCTCTCCACTAGAGGGAGAGAGACTCTTCCTGATGGGAAGTGCTCCTGCTGCTGCCTGATCTGAAAGGAGTAGGAACTCCTTGGGTAAAAGTGCTTGGGAGTTGTTGCTCCTTTGCTGCTGTCCTGCTCAGGATGTTTGTCTCCAGCTGGTTCCCTGTGCTTTCCTCTTGGGACAGCGGTGATCTCCACCATCAGAGACTAAGCTTTGCAGTCAAAGCTTCTCCTGCTTGGTTCTTTTCCCAAAGTCTGTCCTGTTTGGTTCTCTTCCTTTTGACCTTTCCTTTCTCTCCTCATAACCTGTCTGCAGACAGCTGCGGGCAGGTATGAGCTGGGAGAAACCTGTGTGGTAAGTGCCACGCTGAGTCCTTTTCCATCTGCAGAGCTCAGGCCTCTGCTTTTTATCCCTTTGGAGTGTGCTGTTGAGGTGTTTGGGGTAGCCTGCAGACCACATATTCCTCTTCTTTCGGAGGCTCTAACAGGAGACTCTCTCAACCTGTGCTTTGTTACAGTGTGTTCAGTTTGTGGAACAGTATGAACCTGTGGTTGTGCAACTCCTGGCAGAGGTGATGGATCCCACTTTTGTTTGCACTGTGAGTATTGCCTTTGATTTGGTTGAGTGCAGGCTCTAATACAGTCCTGTGTGCCTTCCAGTGCCCAGCACATGGAAACTCTGCTGGAATAAGAATCAGCACACTGAATGCTTGGAGCAAATGTGGTTGTGCAAGGCCTGGGGCTCAATGGACAGCTGAGTGCCAGCCCAGTGCAGGGAATGACAAAAGGAAAGATCTGCCACTGCTGAGCTTCAGTGACAGGGTGTGGTGTGCCCTGAATGTGGTGGGAGGTTAAGTGGCACTTCTTGAGAAAAGTCCCTCTCTGTTTTTCGAAACTTGATATGAAAAAGGAGTTGTGGTAACTTAATTCTTCCCTGTGTCAGATCCCAGCTTCGTTGCTGCTGTGACCTCCGTGAGAGCTCCTGCAGCCACCTCAGGGGAGCTTCCACACTCACTCGGGTGTAAGGATGGCCTTGAGATCTCAGGGTGTAATTAGAAAGGTGGTGACTCTCTCTTGCTGTTCTTTTCACAGAAACTCGGAGTCTGTGGTGAATCAGCTAAACAGCCTCTCCTGGGGGACGATGCTTGTGTCTGGGGTCCAGGTTACTGGTGTAAGAACATGGACACTGCTGCTCAGTGCAATGTACGTAAAGCAGGGCTCTGCCTCGAGCTTCCTGTTGGTCTTTGATAGCTCCTTAATGGCCACTTTTCAGGTTCTACCACACTTGGAAGTGGGTATATTTCACTTTAAAAAAAACAGTAGGGTGCTGGCTTGATTAGAGGGTCTTTCATAGGCTTTAGCTTTCTCAAAGCTAACTTTCCTCTACATTTTGTTCCTATCCCCACCTGCCTGCTGGTATTTCAGAATTTATAGTAAAGTACAGTGTCAACTTTATATGTAGTCAGTGGTCCTGCAGCAAACAGACCATGTCTCATGATCTCTCATCAAGCTCTAAAAATTGGCTTCCAGCATTGCTTTCTCTGCCAGGCTTTAGTGGCTAAGGGTCATCAGCCTTCTTTCCTGAAGCTTCTGGGTGGGGGCAAGGATATTATTTATTCTAGTCTGTTTCAAAATCACTTATTTTAAGAAAAGCAAATTTGCTCCTGAGATCTTGGCTCAGAATCAGGTGTTGAATTGTGTAGATGCACGCTGGTTTGCAAACAGGCTCTTTTCCACTAATATCAACTCTTGCTTTCCCTTTAGGCTGTTGATCACTGCAAACGCCATGTGTGGAACTAGAAGAAGAATTTCCAGTTCTGAAAGTTTGCCATGGCTCTTAAAACATGTGGGCCGAGGTTGGCAGAGAGCTGTATCTCACCTGTCCCTCCTCTCTGCCTCATTAACAATTTGACCTACAAGTTCCTTTATTGTAACTCTTCTGTAGCAGTGCTGCTGTTGAAGAATCAGATCTTCATCATTGACTTAACAAAGATATTTCTGATTGTACAGTTTAACTCGTTATGCTCCTAAAAATAGTCAGTGTGTTGTAGATTTTTTTTTTTTTTCTAATTGGTAGGCTGAAGTGTTTTTTAGGTGCTGGGAAGAATGACAGATAAGATGAAATGAGACAAGGCTCTTATCTTTTAATTTAAAAAAAGGACAAGGTAGCGACTAATCTTTCAAGTGTCTTTCTGTAGGGGAGCATTGGGAAGATCTTACATGCTTTGCATTTTTAACATCTGGCTGGAATGTTAATTTTCTGTGTATGGGAACTCTTAAGGGATAATGTTGAATCCGGGAATCCCTTCGGCTGGAATTTTCAAAGCTCTACAGATGCAGAGGAGGGGGCTTTGTGTGCCCAGCCACCTTTCAGAGTCACTGGTAACCCAAAGAGGTGCATTTGAGTGATCACGCTTTGGCGTTGGAGCGACCACGCTTGTGGCTCACGGCGTTGTCATAGCTGAGGAAAACCCTCCCTCAACCTTTGATCGCATCCCTTTGATTTCCTTGGGCTCCTGGGTCTAAGCATGGGTGTTCTGCTGCCAAGCCCTATTCAGTGGGATGTCAGTCTTTTGAAGCATGCGGACGTACTTAAGGAATGACTCCCTTTTTTTCGTATCCTAGTTGCTCAATTCTGCTTAGTCTTGCAGCTTCCCACATGCAGCCAGGCTGGGTGCCGAGGAGTTGAGAGATGGAGGAGGAACAAGTCAGCAGGAGCTGTGCACATGTCAAAGGGAGTTCAGCATCGAGGGTGGAACGTGTGGAAAAATGGGGCTTATTGTAAACTGCCCATTTGTTCCTTGATCTGCTTTTTCTCTCATAGCATATTTGAGTCATCTAAAACTTTCAGAGGTGCTGTGAGGCTCGGGGGCAGTTTCCCCTGCTGCCACCCGTTCTCACTGATCCCCTCCTGAGGAAGTGCAGCAAGTAGAGATGGCAAATGGTAGGAACACTGTAGTAGGTATTGGAAGCTCTGCTGGCACACCTCACAGCCTGCCTTTCACACCTCTCTAAAATTACACTGAAATGCCTGAAATCCCCAAAAAAGCCCTTCAAGGCAGGCTGCTTCCCTGGGAACATGTCAGGCCCTTGGGAGTGAGAATCTTGTATTGCTTGAGATGGACCTTGGATTTGGTGTGTAATTCTGATCAAGTTAATCCCCAAAACACTGGATCAAAACCCCCAAAACAGAGGCACCAAAGTAGCTCTGAGGAGACCTTTGGGAAGGAGCAGCTGGGCAGATGTGGAGCTTTGAAAATTCCAGTCCTGTTCAGAAAGATGCTGCTAACTCCTGCTGTTTCTGTGGTGTCTGGGATGAGCAGGAGCTCCAGTAACAAAGCTGTAGCAGCAAGCAGACTGTTTTTCATTGGAAAACCACTGGAGTGCAGGTTTGTAGTTACTCTGTACATACTAAATGCCTGGGCACTGCTGACAGATGGCAACAGAGGTTTGTCTCTTCTGTTTGCTGAATGCTTCAAAAGAAAAGAAAATGCTTCAAAAGAAAATAAAAAGGAAAATTTCCCCTAAAGATATAAAATACCTGCAGCTTTCTGTCTTGGCAGGCTTGTGCAGTGTTCTGGTGGTGTATCCCAGTTGGGGTAGATACAGCAGATAGGGAATGGGCTCTTCCTTTGGCATCGCTGCCCTGGAGGGATGGGTTGTGTTACACCTCGGTGTGGTAGGATGGTATTTGGTGTTTTAAACAGGACAGTGTTCTCTTAATGTGGATCTAATGGGGGGGAGGTGGGGCTGCATTGGCAGCTTGACAGGCTAGGAAGGTTTTATTTTTCTGGGGTTTTTTAGCAGTGGAGGATCCATGCTGGCGAGCTGCGGGGCGAGGTGAGCTGGGGAAATCCTGTGCTGCCACTGGGAGTCCCTGTAGTTTTCTCCCTTCCTGTGGACTGTGGCACCTGACCCGCTTGAGTCGTGCTGGGGGAACGTGCAGTTGCTTTCTGAAAAAACAAAACACATTGTCTTGATTTTATTTTTTTTTTTGCACAAAAGCTTCCCTAATGAACAATAAAAACTTCTGTAAACTGGTAAGACTGTGTGCTTCAATTCCTCGTGTGCTGGTTGCCAAAGGATCTTGTTTGGCTGCAGAGCCAAGAGAGAAGGCACATCGCAAGGTGTCAGTGGGAATCTGGGACTGAATGGGTTCAGGTTCCCATTAAGATGCTGTTGCCTTGCAGGCTGCGTGTCCTATCAAGCCTCTGTGTTCTGCTGAGCGTGGTGGGAGGTGGAAGAGGCTTGCCTGGGATTGCTGCTGCTCTTCCCTGGACAAACACAACGCCTGGTGTGAGGAAACAGCCCCGTGTCGCAATCCCTGCCTTGCGCAGGATGAGGAACTCGCTTGATACTGGCCTTCCCTGCTGACTTGCACTTACTGGGGCTTCCCTTTTGTCCTCCTCCCTTGCTTTGTTAGAAATAAAATAAATGCCTTTTAAACACAGGGAACATGGTGCTGTCCCGTGGCTCCAGGATGGTTTTCCCTGTCCATGCCCACCCTCTGCAGCCCAGGCTAGTGTTGAGCAGCAGGTTCTGGGCTCTTGACCTCCCGGGAATACCTCTGGTCCCTCCCTCTCTTTGCAGCCTGGTGATGATTTTATAATCAAGGTGTAAGGCAAGGGGTGTGGTAATTGCCCTGCGTAGGTGTGGATTCTCACTGCTTCTCCCAACCCCTCCAAGATTCCTCAGTCTGGGAGCAGCATAGGAGAGGAACCAGCCACTGAGGACTATCTTAGGAACGGCATGGAGAGCAAATGGAGTGGCTGGGTGCTGATCGTTTCTGTGTGCCTGGGCTCCTACCAAGGTAAGGCCAGGCCTGGGGGTAGGTCTCGGAGAGCCCAGAAGTCCCCTCTGAATTCCAAAACTATTCCCAGCTGTAGTGTCTAAACTGCATAATGTGCTTTCTTGTTCCTCTATGGTGTTGGAATTGGGCAGAGGAGAGCTGGGGAAGGTGACATCATGGGCTGCTCTACCCACCTGGATGTGAGTGTTGGAATGTTTGCCCTTAAAGCTGATCTCAGTGCAAAAAGGGGCTTGTTCCCTCCCTTCTCCGGGATTCAGGTGGAGCTGTTGTTTTGTCGGGAAGGAGGGAAGCCAAGTGCTGGGGTGTTTCAGCAGCCGAGGGGGAGAGGGGCTGTTCTCTCTGCTGCCCTTGGTCTTGGGGCCTGGCTGCCAACGTGAGAGCTGGGGGAACCACTTGGTTGTCACAAGAGTGACCACAGCACCCCCTGAAGCTGCCTGTTTTCTGAGGAGCCTTTTACAAGGAGTGGGAGGCAGGAACCTGCCTCTGCTCTGGCTTGCCCACCTCCGGGAAGGGTGATGGGTGACATGCTGCAGCCCTACTCACCTTTGGAGATCTCTCATTGCTGGGACTTGGGTATCTGTGTGTGAATCCTCCTGCAGGCAAGCCTATGCTGCTGTCCCTTAGCCATCCCCCAGCCCATCCCCAGGAAACGAGCTAGGAGAAACCTGTTTCTAACCTCAGGTCCTTGCCTGAGGGCAAATCACTTATTCCAGGGAAAATTTCTCAGAGGAAGCTGTGTAGCCCTGCTGTTGTAGGCAAACCCCCCACCTTTCAGAGGGAAGAACCTCTCCTGCACCCTGATTACTCACCGGGCTCCTCCAACGTGACTTGCCCAGGCCTTGTGGTGGAGGAGCTGTGACTGCGCACGCGTGACCCGCGGGGTTGGGGGGGACATGTCCGGGTGTTCAGCCAGCAACAGGCAGAGCAGGAAAGTTCACCTGTGCTGGGCACGTCCGTGCTTGGGGTGACACCTGCCCTGGAACCCGGTCGGGGCTTGGCTGCACGGCACAGTGGTGCTGTAGGACCAGGGGCCTCTGCAGGCCTTGGAGAAGGGTTTTGGAGCTGGGAAGAGTGTATTTATGGTTTTTGCAGTAACAAGGGTGTGCACCAGGCCAGGAACTGGGGCACCAGGGCCCACGCGGCCACCCCCGGGGTTTACGTCACAACCGGCTCACCAGGCTCTGCCGGCTCGGCCGGCACGTTCTGAGGCTCCACGTAATGCTGGCATAGCCTTGCTGGATCTGGAGCTTGGTGCTGGATCCCCCTGAGAAAAGCCCACCCCATCCCAGGGGCCTGGCAGCCAGGAATAGGGCAGTTGTGACTGGCCTGGGACCATCACAGGGGCATGAGAGCATCCCTGCCTCGCTCCTCTGCCAAAAATGGCACTGTCTGCTGTCCTTCTTCCTGGCTGCCCATCAGCATGAGGTGGGTCCAGCACGGCTTTGAAATGTGGAGGAGAGCTCATGAGGCACCAGCTGCCCTGGTTGCTTGCCTGTGGCAGTAATTTCCACCTGGGGAAGCTCCCCCTGCTCTCAGCAGTTGGTAGCTGTGATTAGTCTTAATTATTTTTCTGGCTCAGCACTTATTGCCTGAGCAGGGTGAGGGGTAAGTGCCGAGCTGAGGGTCACTATGAGACAGAAAAGTGCAGGACCAAGCCACTGGTGTCTTTTAGACTGCTCAAATACCCCCATGCCTCTGCTGGGGTTTGGACTCCAACACAGGGCTGTGAGAGATGCCTTGTGTTAGGTGGAGCCAGCTCAGAAAAAAAGCTGTGGGGTTGTTGCCTCCCCTCTCCTTGGTTTTGGTGCTGCCCCTTAATGCTTCCGCTGACTTGCCATTCCTGTTTGCCCTGATCAAGAGCAAGGGTTAAAAAAATAAATACATCCCTCTCAGCTGATGGGGCGAGGGCAGCATCACACTGCTGGGGAGGTGTGTGGGCAGTGTGGGAATCTGGGGGGACTCACCCTGCCCTGGGGCCCATGCCTGCCCCGGTGCTGCCTCAGCCTGATCGGCCTGGACCACCCCCTGGCACCTGCTGAGCTGTGCCAGCGCTTTTGGGAGCAGGTGGGATGGAGGGGGCTAGGGAGTCCTCTCCCCACCTCCTCCATCTCCAGCAACTTCCCACAGAATTACAGAATATGCTGAGCTGGAAGGGACCCACAAGGATCATCGAGTCCAACCCTCAGCCCTGCACAGGATCATCTCCATGAGTCACACCATGTCCCTGAGAACATTGTCCAAACACTCCTTGAGCTCTGCCAGCCTTGGTGCTG